TTTAGTAATTAGGTAACATTTACATGATACACTCAGTGGGAGGAGGTCCAAACTGTCTCTCAGCAGCGCTATTTCCATGCTCTTTTGCATAACTGATTACACTCAGTTTGAATTTTGCAGAGTAAGACATTAGCTTTTTTTTTTTTTTTTTTTTTTTCCGACATCTTTATGGGCTCAGAATGCTCTGACATTACCAGTCCCTGTCACATCTGCGCGCTGCCTACATGCTCTCCACCTCCAACGGGATGCGTTCCAATTGGTTTGTTCAGCATCAGCTGACGTCAGTTACATAAGGCTCATGATTGGAGGAAGCCTGTTTGCAGAGACAAAGTACGGGCAGTTTCGCAACCGCATGGTTCTCTCCTTGGCTTACTTCCTTGTATAAGACGACCTTCAATTTTTAGTGTAATGATTTTAGAAAAAAGTATCGTCTTATACACGGAAAAATATGGTACATTCATAGTTTTGGCTTCTCTTATTCAAAACTATCTCCAGTGGGTTTTTTCTTTGATGAACAGCTTTTCCAGTAACATGCAGACTGCTTCCATTTTCTTAAGAAGCTGCCTTATATTAATTTGGGGGCATCTAGCCCTGAGTTGTATAACTGGTTGGCAAATCTCTTTAGTTTTGATCATGAATCCTTCCTGCCTGGAGTTGGCAGAGGCCTAACCTAAGATTTTTGCACGCAAAGTATGTGCTAATTCCGTTCCAAGGCCCTTCATGTGCTTTGCATATCTGCTGTAGGTGAAAAATTGAAAGAATGATTAAAAGAAAATTTAATCACTTCCCTTTCATACTGTAGTGCAGAAACAGGTTTATTTCCTTGATTGCTGTTTGTGAAAACTTGGAGGTGTGTGTGTGTGAGAGAGAGATAGATGGTCTTTATTTATGGTCAAAGGTCAGATTGTACGTAAAGTTCAGCACAAAAAAAATCACCACTTAATATCCTAGCACCCGTAAATTATCAAGATTATAACATCAGCCATTTTACTGAAACATATTTAACAGTCAGCCATGTACACACTTCCACTGTAATGACTGATCTGATAAGAGATTATATAATGACTCTGTTTTACTATGAATTTGGTTAGAAGGGGTATTAATAGGTCAGAGTGATAATCTGTATGAAAGCAGCAGGGCAGCAATTCGTCCATGGCTGTGTCTGTCTCCCTGACTGCACGTGGACTAATCTATTCTGATATGGATACCTGGCTGTTTTCCTTTCCAAAGACATTGATGATAAGGCATTCAGCTGGGGAAGAGAAAGCTTTTTGATGTGAGATAAAAACGATATGAAATAATAATGTAAAGATTCTTGTGTTGGCCTCTTTCCATTAAATTATTTTGGGTGGCCCACATCTAATAGTCAGTACCTGTCTGTAATCTTAACCTTCTCAAAACCTGACCTGAGAACCTAAAATATTAAATATCGTTTTCAATTTTTTTCTTCTAAGAAGTATACCCATTCAGGCATATTGGAGGAGATCAAAGATCCAGATAAAAATCTTTGCTTAAGCTGACATTTAAAGTGACAAGTCCACACCCATATTGCAGAGGAGTATATCTCATTCCAAGCATAAAGACACATTGGGAATACATCAGAGGGTCTGCAATACAGCTGTTAGCATTTTTCATTGAACACCTTCCAGTGTTGGGAATCTTTATGGATACAAACCTGAAAACTCTATAGCATTTGACTGATTTTCTTGGCCTTAAAAACTTTTAAGTGCCACCAGTATGTAATTGCTGCCCCCAATGAAAAGGAAACTCAAGATTTAACTCGGACGTAACTCAGGATTTAACTTGGACACAGGCAGATAGACCTTCGTTGTTGCCCCCAAACAGTCCTGGTGGGGGGGGGGGGCTGAACAGTAATCCCAAGGTATTTGAAGGAGCTAGCTTGCTCTAAACATGCCTATTTCTCATCCATACACATTTATGGCTCATTCTTTTTCTTCAGAATAGCATAACCTTTGCTTTGATACAAGGTATAATTAATTTTTGCTGTTTTAATTTGTCTTAGTTAATTTGAGTAGTACAGAGAATAGGCACTTCATTGATGTAGAAAAGCACAGGTATCTGTTGACTTCAGGAGCGACTTGCACTGTAGAGTCACAAGATACCGAGGAGGAGCCAAAGCACACTCTAGATTGACCCCTTTTTGAATGGGGATTTGAGCAGACATTTGGCCTTGGGCCTCCAGATACCATCCTGAGACATAATAAGGAGTAACATTCACTGTTAGATGGAGGAATGTTTTAACCTCCACCAGAGCCTGTCTCTAGGAATTGAGTCAAATATTGATTTGAGGTCCACAAATGCCACGTACAAGGCTCCCCAGGAAATGCTGGTGTACTTGTCCACCAGATGGTGTAACATAATACTGTGGTTCAAAGTTGATCTCCCCTCTAAATGTTACTTGCTCTTCAGCCAGAATATTACTACATTCTAACCAGCATAGCAATTTCCAAATATATGGCACAAATAGAGTTTACTAATCACACTCAGTAGTCGCGTGTGTGAGTTTCACCCACAGCGTTGCAGGGGGAGGTATACTTAAAGAGGACTGCCAGCTGGCAAGCATAAATAAATAGATCTTATCTAGCTAGCAGCTCTAATCTCCTGTGTTTTCATTTGGATTTGGTTATCCATCACTTCGTTCTCTTGGCTTTTGAGAGCATTTTTTGTCTGGTATTAAACCGCTGCCAGGAGCCATCCCCAAAGTGGTCATATTTCAGCATTTTGAGAACAGCTTGATGTAGTCTTTAGTTTGTGTGGATAAATGAAAAAATGCCATCATTAACACATTTGAGCACAAAGTTGAAAGTTGTTGGCAGGAGCAAAGAATTTCTTGATTATATTTTCAGGACTGAAACCATAACACCTCCCTAGGGTGATATTTTAATTATTTTTATTTTAACTCAATTCAACTATGCATTTTTGAAGTTTCCTTGCAAATACCACATTTAGATTTTCATGATTTTACACTGGTTTTGAAAGGGTGGTTTTAAATGTAATGCAATTTCCTATTCATCAGAGAAGTGCTGTTGAATTAAATGATTTTTGATTATTTTGTTCTAAATGTTATACACATAATTAAATTGTTCTTGTTTGCCCAACTGCTCATTGCTGTTCTAATTTACTTATTGGCAAAACCTCAGTGAATGTTAAACCAGGTTGACCATAGGCATCAAGACCATGGTTCATTTCATAGCAAGCTTTAAGTAGTTTATTGTTTTGACTAACCTGGTGCATTCTGTTTTGCCTATCAGAATTGTTACAATATCTAAGAATACATTGTAGAATCACATCTGTAAGAGCATGTATGGTAGATTTGAGTAGTGGAGCATGAATCTCTCTTGCTTTCAAGAGGATGTGGTTGGGTTTGGGTTTTTTTGCAGTGCAAAGGTGAAATTTGTGTAAAGAACATTTTCTGAAAAACGGTGTCCTCTGTAGTGTGTATAGAACACTTTCTAAGCTAAGCAGTTAGTGAGGTTTGCACAGGTAAAACTTTTGAAACTGACCTGTGAACGTTGTATACAAAACCAAGGTTGTTGCTTAAGAATAGGCTTGCATTTTCCAAAATGAATTTATGATAGTGCAGATCAATTCTCAGACTTGAACTAATGCCTTCTTTGCCTTTCAGAACACTGCATAAAGATCTAGAGATCAGTGACAGTGAAGACTGCGATGATGACCAAGTCAGTATTTATATATACAGCTATGAATCGGTCTTCCCCAATCTTGTGTACAACTCACAGAATTCCTGGCCTTTGGCTGTGCTGGCAAAGAATTTTGAGAGTTGTTGTACAGTGCACCTGTAGGGCATGTGGTTGGGGTAGACTGTATAATCTTTCTAATATACAGAATGCTTTTTAAAATGTTTGTGGCCCATTTTCTGTATGAATTGCTTAAACTAACCTTTCTCTTTTTCATTTCCCTGTTACCAGGTTTCTGATAAACCGTCTTCCTCATCAACGCCTCCAAGGTACAATTTCTTTTTGAAGAATAAGAGGAAATGGGGGAGGGCAAAACTTGATGCAAATATTCAGTATGTGTCAATAGAAATTTCTGCAAAAGTATTCAGAGAGTATGAGAAGTTAAGAGACAAGCTAAACTTTTCACAGATATTTGTAAGGCTGATTTGAAACTGACATAAGTTAGTAAAACCTGGAAAAATATGGAATTGTGTTGCTTGACCTGGTTATGCCATCAGGCCTGGGGGTCTTTGGGAACTGAAGACATTCTTAGATGACTCCACTGTAATTGATATTCTGCTCTCTCTGCGGGGTTTGTATATTTTAACGTTTAAATTTTTTTAAATGTTTGATGTTTTTATTTTAATAATCACTTTTACTTTTCATGATTGTTTTTATTCATCTTTTATTTTATTCAGTTGTTGTACACTGCCCGGAGTCGCTTTGTGTGAGATGGGTGGCTATATAAATGTGACATATCAATCAGTAAATAAATTGACCTCAAGACTGTAATGATAAGAAAGAGCAAAACAATATTTTAATAACTCACTGAACACAGAGGTGATAGTGCATATAATATGAAGTACCATTTATGTATGCCGGTGTCAGCTTCATGGAGAAAAATTAGAAAAGTAATTTGAACAATGTATGTTCAGAAGTGTACTCATTATTTTCAGAACAGTCTCAGATATCGCCAGATAATCTAATCTTGCCTTGCTGTAAAATATGGTTTAAAAATCAGTATCTGTTCTCAGAATTGTTCTTCTTCCTGTCTCTTCCAGCATACTGCCCATTTCATTCCTTGTTTGCATTAAGAGTGGTATTTTATTGCATGTATACTGAGGAGTGAACAGTGCTTAACCCAAATCTATTACAGTCATGCCTAGTGGATGGCTGAACCCATAAGGTGAAAAGCTGGAGGTCTGAAACATACTTTTCCTGAACCCCTCTGGGTTTTCATGCTCTGGCCCTGCCCCCTGCTTTTTTTTGAGGCATGTGACTATACAATTTGATCTTTCTTTCCCTCTTTGGGAAAGAAACAAATCTCATAGGAGATAAACAAAATAAAACTTTACCAGAAAAAAAAGCAATGATTTTAACTCCCCCCTTTTAAATTTTTTAACTTAATCTTTTCATATTAAAATGCAAATGTACAATGTAGAAGGAGACAAATTACAGAGCTGTCCACCCCATGGAAAAAACAGTTGTCAACTTAGGTAATCACATAGAAAATTCAAAATAAAATACAGTGCTCTGACAGACCACAAAATGTGGATTTTCTTTGCCAGAATCTTTGAGAATATGCTGATAGCTTCCAATTAATCTTACAGATTACAAAAAGCTTCTACAGAAATATTATAACATTATGAGCAAGACAGAGGGTGTTTTTTTTTAAGGCAGGAGTACTCAGTTTCCTAACTTGTACAGAGAGATAGAGGCAAGTAGACTTAGCACAAAACAGCAAACAGAAATCAGAACTTTGCAGAAATACCTGTCTGGAGGCTATTTCTACCTATTTCAATTTCCTGAACGTATCTTTTTCTGGGATTCCAAATTTTAACCAGAAGCTGAGGGGGATAGTGGTAGTTGTATGGTTTTCTCAGCCTCTGTCCACAGACTTCAGTTGAGTTATTCTCCTGATTTCTGCCCTTTGTTTTTTAAAAGGACCAAATATTTTCCATCTCTAGCAGAGGAAGTGACTGGGGTAACCTGACTCCATACATGACTTCTGAGCTGCAGATTGAATGTCTGTATCTGCAGACTGGCGTGTAGTCTCCATTTCACAACACCGTGTTAAAAATAAAATCATAGTTGTAGCCCATGCTTTAGATAAGGGTCCTGACAGAAAAAAAAATAGCAAATGTGGGTGCTTCACAATGCTGTTAATTCAGAGATTGGAGATGGTTTTATGGTTTGTTGTGTTATAGCCTAACAATTCTGCTAGAACTTACCTCATTCCTGCTTTTCCATTTGGGCATAGAATTCAAGGCAATCTACCCTCTTAGGTGAGCCTGTTAAGTAATATCACAAGAATGCAGGAGTGCTGGATTTTAGTGTGCATCTTCACACACACACACACACACACACACACACACACACACACAAACACTACATGATCCCTGTTCTTCAGCTTCCATTAAGGGCAGTATCCCATGAATGAAATTCTCATTCTGCGTAGCAGCTTTAGATCCATATGCAAATGGAAACAAGATACCAATATTTTGCAGGCATCCAAGCTACAAGAAAGCTTGTCAAGTGCTCCAGACTTGTTAAAAAAAATTTAAATGGGGGGGGGCAATTGGTCTGAATATCGACTAATTATTCAACCTCCAGGTTCGAGTGGTTTCTTAAGGAGAAACTCAAGCAGGACCTAAAGCTGTAATGCTGACCTGGGAATAACTGAATATAGTGGGGCTTATTTCTCAATAATATTAGGTGCCCAGGAACTGCATTCCATAGGCTCTGAAGAACCAATTGTCAATGCCCCTCAGTTGCCCCCCACCCCAGCCATGAGGAGAAGGCAAAATATTTCTTACCTTGGAAATATTGGGGGCCAGGGGTGGAGAGAGTCTTGATTTAAACTCTGAAGCATGCATGGGCTTTGATTTCTGTAAAAAGCAGTAGGTCAGAACTGTTGTAATATGGCTTCATTCTAGTCTGCAGTAAAGTAACTAATCTACTTGAGTTGTGTCCATAAGCCTTCTTTCAGGAAACCAGGTCAGTGTCTGAAAAGCCAGGATTTCCAGCCAAATAGATATATGTAGGATTGCATAATAGGGCAAGAAGCCCTGCAATAAAAAGGTTTGCCAAACACAATAAAAGCTTTAAGACTAAACTGTGAACATGAGCTTGAGGGTATTTAAAGATTCTATAAAAAATCTTCTGAAGAAATTATTGATTCCAAATGCAGGATTTTTTTGTCATAATTCCCAATAAGAGTTTAAGCATCTGTTAATGTTTTGCACAATGATGCCTGAGTTTGACACTAATAATTACCTTGTTTCTTAAGCTGTTGATTTCTCCAAACTGTAAATTTGGAATTAGCAAAAACTTGCCTTTAAGCAATGCAAAATCCACCAGTGTGGGCAGAAGGGAAAAACGTTCATTTGAATAATTTTTTATTTTACATTAGAAAAGTACATATGCATTTATAGCATTCAAAGAAACACACTCCCAAATCTCAGAATGAAAGGAGATTTTCCTTGAATTACAATTTAAATGTGGAGAGTGGAGGAAGAATAACTTCAAGCAGTTTGGTGTGGGAAGTTCAAAAAGAAGCCATTAATTGTGTTGTAGTCAAGTGATAGGTTATGAAAAGGAGGTGAGTGCAAGGCATGTTTCAGCATATAAACCATGGATAGGAGCATTTTCAGCTAATTTGATATTCTGCTAGGTATTGCTTCACTTGTGCTAGTCAAATGTTTGCTACTGTAGTTGTAAAAATGATCATAGGCTGCTTTGGACTATATATATATATATGTAACTAATTAGTTCATGCTGAGGTTTCTGATCATGGGCAACTTGTGATGAATATGGATGGTAAACCTCTGGCCCAATGGGTTTCACATGACAATCATCCCCCCTCCCTAAAGGCCCTGCCTCTCCAATGTCCTGAATTTACTTAATGAATGGGAGATAATGAGGAATGATTGCATCCACTGTGCACAGCCCCTTCTTCTGTATGCAAGAAATAAATTGATATCTTCTTTCCTTTGCACTTCTGGGCTCCTGTGAGTGAAGGAAGGATGGCCAGAGGGCAGGGGCTGAAAGATAAACCTCCCCTTAAGCCTCACCCCGATATAATCTAGCTGATCCAGAGTCTGAACTGGGGAACTAATTGAGACACCACAGGTGTGAATCAGCCCAAAGCAATAGCTTAACTCCTCAAACTGGCATCACCATTTCTAGAAATATTTAGTAATTATTTAGCATTAAAATAATCATTCCCCGTATTTCAAATCTGTACTGGCTGGATAAATAAAGTAAATTGGAAATTAAATGTTGTGCCTTTATTCCCCCTGAGCACTTAGAGGGCATTAGGAATAGAGCAAGTGACATGTATGCTCACAAACACATGTGCTTTGTTGAATATGGGCTCTAGTGAATGAGGGCCTATTGATCTGCTTATCTCAGTGACTGCAACTCCATTAGCTATTACCCAAATGTTATAGGAAGAAGAGAGACTTTATGTCAGTGGTACCGTGCGTTCTTTGTAGGATGAACTAATTTTCTATGCCTGGCACTTCAGGTTGGTAGGACTGGAAAATACCTCTTTGGACAGACATGGATGCTGGATTGCTCCCATAAGAGTGCAAACCACACAAACTTTCTGGGCAGTACATTTCCTGCAAGAAGTGGACCTAATTTTGAATAAATATGCCTAAGACTGAACTGTAAGCAACTGTACATACCCTGAAGAATTTTTCTTCAGAATAATATAGAAGGGGAAAGGATGAAAATAGGAGGTTACATATAGATATGTGACACTTTTCTTCAGGAAAATAGTACATTTGGGCAGTTAGTTTAAAAGCATTCCATTTTCCTTACTTTGCCGGCAGTTGTATCACTCAAACAGTCTAACTCTGCAAACCTTTTTGTTGTAGAGTATACTTTATTTTTAACAATGTTCTTCTCAGTCTCTAAAATTGGCCTAAGGATCTTCCTTCATTCTTGGATGTTCCCATTGATTTGTGAACAGTGGTGTCATGTTTTCAGTTATGCTGATTGAAATGTTTCTCCTCGCAAGGCTGTGTCAAGCGGAGAAGGAGAATTCAGAAAGATGATCCTGACCCATTTCTAATTTTATCCCTTGGTTTTGGTTTGCAGTGCCCCACAATCGCAGCCTGAGAGTGTGGCATTGGCTCATTCCAGCAGTCCGGAATCTGAGAGCACAAGTGACTCAGACAGTTCCTCTGATTCTGAGTCTGAGAGCAGCTCTACTGACAGCGAAGGGACTGATCCTCCAACGAGAGTCTCTACACCTGAGGTACAGTGTCCATTTTATCAATGTGTCCACTGTACAGTCTGGATAGCAATTTCCTCTTTTATTTTTTTTGTCCCTCTCTGTACAAGACAGCTGTGTACAAGAATCTGTTGGAAGATTGTTTTTATCATGTTTTAGGTGCCATTGGACCGTCTCCCTATTTTCTACACTAGTTCTGCTAAGCATACAAGGCCAGCACATATTACTGTAGCTGCCACATGGAACTTCAGGACTTGAAGCCAGAATTTACACAGAAGGGCAGACAGCAAATCATTTTTCCTCTTTCTGGTATCCCCCAAAAGTGTTGCAATAGAACTCCTGGCTGTTGGCCATGCAGATCGGGAATTCTAAGGTTTTCAATCCAACACAGCAGAAGGCCAGTCATTTCGGGAAAACCGTGGTAGTTAATGGGGAACTGCCAGTTCCTTAAAAAGAATTAAATATAGATTCAGGATATTAATCAGTCATTCTGATGCCTCTTCATTTGTTGACTGAAATAAGGGAAAAAGGAAATGGGAAAAGTCTTTGTTATTCACTGACTGACTGAATAGAATGCAAACTTTTCCCATAGGTAAATAGAAAAGGTAGATGTTTGTATATAAGATTGTAAATCTTGTATAAGTTCCCACCAGTGGAAGTGCCTTGTGGGGTAATTGACCTTGGGCCCCCCTCCCGGTCATCTTGAATGTTTTTTAGTATTTATGTATAGGGTTGTTTTATAGTCGGATTTTAATTGATT